ACACACACACACACACACACACACACACACACACACACACACACACACACACACACACACACACACACACACACACACACACACACACACACATAATGTATTGAGATTTTTAATTACTTATATTGAATAAAAATAACTTCTATATCTTAAGAAAAATACTTCGAATTATTTGAGGCTTGAAAAGCCATTATTTTCATCGCAATTATTGTAAAACCTGTAACAAATCAGATGTGAAATTACGATCGTGAAATCTGTAAATGGCTTAATCACTATTATAAATACACACGTCCAATCACAGTTGTGGGACTTGCAGATCCAGCTACAACTACGGAATTCACAAATAAACCGAGTAAAGTTGCAAAATTCAATGTTAGTACGACGAGAATAAAATTGACGTAATTACAATAGATGCAAATAGAGGTTCTGAAATGACTATATAGTTTCCTAAAATATGCAACACAATTACGCTATTATGTCTGAGATTACAACAGACAGATTGACTTTGAAGTTTTGGACTGATCGAGGTGACTATCATTACAACGGTGAAATTCTGTGTAGTGTTAGAGAGTTAGTACATGTAATATTTCAAACAAAAAACTTGCCTTTAGTTTTGTCCATTCTTTAAAAATTTCAGAATTGATAACATTGAATCAGAAAGAAAAACGATAACCAATATATTTATGGTTATATATATTTATGGTTATATATATATTTATGGTATATTTATAGTATAAATATATTTATAGTTGTACCGTGGAATTTTTTTCGGAGAAAGTTTTTTATCGACCCAAGAGTGTACCATGCATCAATCGGAGGACTAAAAAAGGACTAAAAAGGATTAAGGACTAAAAAAGGAGAGAATTTTGCTGTTACTGAAAAGCTGCACCATTTTGTGACGTTTACAACAATTTTTAACGTTAATGAATTCATGACAAAAATGAATTCTCTTTGGATATTTTTATAGCTTTAATATCTCCTTGCATCTCATTTTGAAGAGGAAAAATATTTTGCAACTTTTATTTATTTTTTTAAAGATATTTTTTTTTTAAAGAAGGATAATATAGTTAGGTACTACGAGCAAAGTATCCAATTCTTTAATATTATTATTGTATGCTCGAACTAACAGAAATATTAAAAATTGCTTATATAGTTTTATGACGAGAAGAAGAAAATATTTTAACAAAACTCGAATAAATTTAAAAGTAAAGTTGTATGTTTTTTACAATTAAAAATGAAAGAAAGGAATTCGATAGAGTACCTCGTTAATTAGCCAATTCAAAATAAAATATTCACATTAATAAATTAGTGAAAAATTATTAGGCACAGATCAATGTGAGTGGATGTGCGTTATCGGGACACTAACGGAACTCATTTCAAAATGAAATAATTAATAAAAAATTTCGGGAGTGATTTGAATTCCCAAAATCCCTTCCCTGAAAACGTGCATGATATATTCATCAAATATTTTTGATGATAAAAGAAATTATCTATTTCTCAGGTTTAATTGCTCATTCTCCTTGAGTTTTCTACGTACTTTAAACAATTATTTAATCACATGTACACACCGAAAGAATGTACACTTAAAACAAAAATTGTTCGCTTTCGCAGTGACTCATGTATATAATGTCCTAGTAATTTAGATATCGAAAATGCTACTAATATATAATTACTAATATATAATTTGTACTAATATATAATTTGTATTATATTTTCGCAAGAATATGTTATTATTACTATATATAGATTTTGCAAATACAAAACATACAACAGTAAATATTCGTTTCTCAGTTAGTGGTCTTCGTAACATACATCAGATAAATATTTTAAAAATCAAAATGTTTAATATGTGAATGTTTAACATATATTAATGTGTAATAATTTCTATCTATTTCTTATGGTTTATATCAGAAAATCTAGGAATGATACTGAAAGGAATCCCTAACAATGGCTTCCTTAAAATATATTGTAAGTTTTTTCAGTAACTATTATTTAACTATTAAAATTTCTGCACGTATAACAATGTCAAATTTGTTAAAAAAGTTCTTTTGTCTTTATAATTTCTTGGGATTTCCTTACTTATTTTTGTCTTCTTCGAAATATTCTCTTTCTTATAGTTAATACTTGATACCCCTCTTTCAATTAACCGAAGAAGAAAGTATTTCGAAGGGTATTTTCGACAAGATTAAATAAGTTGCAAGTGAGATTTAGAAAATTATAAGGTTAAATTCAAAAACTTTTGAGCCTCGTACTTCGAAATAACTACAAACTGTGTTAAAAATTTCAGGTCGTATTTTCCTTATTAATAATGATGCTAGCGCATCATTATGTCGAATCTA